AAAAAAATTATATTCATAATTAGTAATACAGGGTGTTCTACTCCTGAAACAATATTCCAAGAAAATTATTTTTTCTATAATTTCTGTCTGAAAATTGTGCTGCGGCCTATACACGCACGCGGCCTATACATGCGTAAATACGGTATTCGCAGAACTCGCTACCATATTGGTGTTTATTCTCACAGGATGTCATCATAAGGGAAACCCAAATTATTTAAGTTCCCATAAGTATTTATTATTATACATTTTACAGTATTTTGAAATGTGGTGAAGAAGAGAGTAGCCTCCTGCATATGGCGAATTCTTCAAATGATTTACCATTTACAGTGTTGACATTTTTATGAGATGGCCTGATATAAGTCATTTCTTCTGGCATTAACATCGTAACCATTAACCATTTAAAGACTGAATTTGTTCTACGTAATATATGAGTTCAGTCCGTACCTCACGGGAAACGTTACATCTCTGCTACAAAGCCCAACCGGTTAATGCTGTTTAGGGACAGTCGCTGTTTATCAGGAGAACCATACGGAACACACAGATACACTTTGTGGGCAGAATGGATTATTCTAGTATGTTAAAGCGGGTGGTACATGTAGGAACCACTGGGCTTTAAAGGGTTAATCTTTAAAGGATGGAATTTCTATAGACATAGGCACTGAAATTTCCATCTCCTGTTTTACAGGCCTATACGAGTGGTGAAGTAGTGATACGTTTGTGCAGTGATGTCTTGTCTGTTCCTTTCGAAGTGTCGACTCCAGCCATCATGGTATGAGCATTCAGCGCGGCTTCGTAGGTACCTCGCAGGATATAACGGTATTCGCAAAATAATTGTATTTGTTTTTGCGACATAAATTGCATAAGAAAATTTGTCCTTGAAAGGTTAATAACAATTATTCTTAAGTGAAGTTTATTGCAGTCTCATTGCATGTCTTACAGATGACAAGAAATATAGTCATTAACACAACTGACAATACACTGTAATGACAGATTCAGATTGCGAAAGTATCCATAATCCTTAACAGTCAATTAAAATGTTTTAAAATCGTGATCAACATTAAGAAACAGATATTTTTTTAAATCTATGTTACCACTGCATCTACGCACCACGCTACAAAGTGGGTAGGTGGTTCTGATAAATGTGGTATTCTTAACCTGATCATAAAGTGGAAATAGTGTAACGCTGAGGCTGACTTTACCATGAAAGCGAGAATTTATGCCAATTGGATAGGAGGCTTAGTGGGCCCCAGAGTCGCTCTGGACGTGTTAGAGGAGGGAAATACTACATGTCTGAGGTTCTAGAGGGTGTTAGATTGTGTCTAGTTCACAGCATGACACTTTATGGTTGCGATGACGGGGTTCCCAAGTATAACACCGAGATACCAAGATATTAACCATCTGAGAGTGAATTCACAGCTGCTTGGGTCTGGCAGGACATTGCAGCTCTTGCAGTGTCATCGGAATGCAGACCAAGCAGCAGGAGGTGCAAGAGAAAGGAGAACAAGGATAAATAAGAATCGGAAGGGAGAGCAGGAGGAGATGAAGTATAATAAAGAAGAATTAAATACAAAAAAGAAATAAAAGAGGCAACGACAAAGAAAAAGGAAACGAATATTAAAGTGGAATAAGATACAAAGACAGAATAAGAGATAATGATACTAAATGAAAAGAAACGAGATAACAAAAAGGATAAGTTGAAGAAAAATGAAGAGAAGATGGGTACAAAGAAGAAATAAGGGAAGAAGCCAAGAAGAAAGAGGAGACGAATATTAGAGAAGAGAAATATATAAAGACGAAATAATGGATAATAATACCAAAGCAAAAGAAACGGAAGAACAAGAACGACGAGATGAAGGGAGAATGAGGAAGAATTGTATACAAAGAAGAAATACGAGAAGAGACCAAAGGGGGAAGTAGAAAGGGGGAAAAAGAAGAAAATAAATCATCAGAAGACAAGGAAAAGACAGAAGAATGAACAAAAGGAAGAGACGGGGAATAAGAAGAGATGGAGGAGAAGAAGACTCAGAAATTGAAGAAGAAGAAGAAGAAGAAGAAGAAGAGATAAAAATGCTTGTTGTTTTTACGTAATTTCCATAATTTTATTGGCCAGATGATTCTCGCCCGCAAAAATTACCTTCATCCTGACTGGTGGGGTCTGAAACAGCTAATTCCATTCTGTTTCGAGCCCCGCATCGCATGCTGACTAAACTTCAATAAATAAGTAAACGGTATCTGCTAAGATTCAGTTATTTTAACCGTAATGGTTGCCAGCCTGTTGGGCGTGGGCGGCGAAGTGAGCAGCCTTGGCGGCGGCAACTTCGGGGGTGTCAGCAGGGACACCATTAACCAGAGTGGGGGCAGGAGCGTATGGAGACCCGTATCCAGGCGCCGCCCCAGGGTAGGGACCAGGATATGCAGGGGCACCGTGCCCGTATTCGGGGGCAGCAGCAGCGGCGGAGGCGGCGGCATTGTAGGCGGCGAAGTGGGCGGCCCTGGCGGCAGCGACCTCTGGGGTGTCAGCAACAGGCTGGGGAGCGCCATGTGGCGCACCAGGGTAGGGGTAGCCCGGGTAGCCGTACTGTGCGCAGGTCATGCTGACAGCAATCAGGCAGAAGAACGCGATCTGCAAAGAGTCCTACAGATATAAGTGCATGTTCTGTAACCTGGGGCCGAATTGCAAATGGGTAACTTCCCGGGCCCACAGGTTCTAAGTAATGCCTGGCGTCTAGAGGGTAGCACAGAAACTTCAATTTTTGTTTGACAAGGAAGCTGTAATATTATATTTCAGGATCCTGTTGCATTGATGTGTCACTTTACATACTTCTGTCTTCAATGCAGATTGTTTACAAGTTCGCCTTAATTTAAAACTCTATTAGAATTACAAATAAACTACTACAAATTTCGACCATACTAGAGCCATTTTTGGGCAACTGTTTATTTGTTGAATTACTACACTGCATTGGTCCTTAAGTTAAAATATTCCAGTGTTAATGCATTTTCATCGTTCACATTAAAATACATTTGCTTGAAAAGATCACTCTTTTCTTGCGCTACCTTCTCCTTGAAGCGTCCGTGTTTCTTGTGTTGTTTTGTTTAGCCTATGAATGTTGGTGTGATGTTATGTTTGTTGTTTTCATTTGTGTTGTTTTGCTTAGTCCTATGAATATTGGTGTGATGATATATTTGTTTAGAGATATTGGGTTTTCGGACTTTATCCATCGTCCTGGTTTTAAGATAAATAAGAAAAACACGACATTTCGGAAACTGGATCTGTTTCCGTCCTCAGGTGAGGGAAAACAACTATTCTGTTGGGTCCCTTAGAAAGAGCTAGCCTCAATCCATGTATCAAAACACTAGGTTATAAACACCTGAGACCAGGCTAAGTCCACGAGACATCGGTTGTCCAGTGATTGAGGCTAGCTCTTTGTAAGGGACCCAACAGAATAGTTGTTTTCCCTCACCTGAGGACGGAAACACATCCAGTTTCCGAAATGTCGTACTTTTCTTATTTATCTTAAAACCAGGACGATGGATAAAGTCCGAAAACCCAATATCTCTATGTTATACACCATCGTCAGAGTCCTATAGTAACTACTTGATATATTTGTTGTTTTCATTTGTGTTGTTTTGCTTAGCTCTATGAATATTGGTGTTGCGTGTTGTCGTTGTTATTTTCATGTGCCCCATTAGTATACATGTCCCCAGGAAGTTGGTCTAGTCGAGTGTATCTCATGTTGTTGTATGTATGTATTGAAATGTATTGTATTGTGTGTATTTTAATGTGAATGACGAAAACGCAATAACATTGGAATATTTTAACTTAACGAATGCAGTGTAACAATATCAACAAATGAACAGTTGCCTGAGGATGACCAAGTAAAGCCGAAACATGTAGTAGTTCAATTGCAATTTTAATATTATCAATCCTGTATATAAGCATCCTGTTACATTACTTTATCTAAAACTGTTTATCCTGCTACACAGTCCGTCAGTGCAGTCGCATATGCGACGAATGAACAATATTAGTGCAGTGTAGCAGTTTCAGCATAGTTTAGACACCTGAAGATGGCCATTTATAGCCGAAAGATCTGTCGAAAGTGAAAGTTAGAGAAAGAAGGAACAATTTGTTGCATTGTTGACGGGCTGCATAGTAAAACAAACAGTATTAGATTTTAATATTATTTTAAATTAAGGAGAAATTATAAATAAACTTGCATTAAAGACGGAAGCAACTGTTTAACGGGATGCTGTAATTCATATTCTCGGGAACGAAATGTTCCCCTCGCTGGCCGTATGCTGTCTTCGTCCCACGAGTTGGAGAGCCCTGTTTTAAAGGTTTATTATATTATCCACAATAGTTAACCTTCGAGATCTAAGGATCTAACTGCGGTGACTATGGAGACTATCTTCGGAGATGTGACGCTATGTAGCCTAATGATTGTTTACCAACGTTTCGGAGGAACCTTCTGCCTCCATCATCAGAGTAGAAGAGTGGGGTGATAGATTGCCCTGAAAATGGTGGTGTGGGCTCCTTCAAAACACCGCTAAACACGTACCAAACTACAGAGCATCATGTCCTTGAAGATAGTTAACATATTGGCTAACACATTTACCCGTAGCATCTATTAGAACTGCGTGGGAAACTCGACAGTAGGCCTAACTCGTTCTTGGCACCCAGTGTGTTAACTCATCGGCGTCATTAAATATTTTTCTAAAGAATGCCGTCTTCTGGGACGTGGCGCCGTGTAGATATTGTGTAAACTGACGTTTCGGAGGAACGTATCGCTTACGCTGGTTCCTCGCTCGCGGATTTTATACCCTGAAGACGAAGGCGATACTTTCCTCCGAAACGTCGGTTGACACAATATCTACACGGCGCCACATTCAAGAAGACGGCATTCTTCATAGTCACCGCCGTGAAAACCTCAAATATTACATATTTTCTAAACATTGGCTCTGTCACCAGCAGATTTTTGCCAAAATGAAACAAAAGTCTTTAACCGCAGTGAATATCGATACTAGTTAGGGATATCCCTACTAGATGTCTCTGTACCTGTATGAACCATAGAAGTCGGCATGAGAGCAAAGAAATTAGTTGCCACATTACGTAACACTAAAATGAGTGAACATATCCTGTCTGGGTGACGCAGGCCGTGTATGTAGTATATATCCTTACGGATGTGAATGTTAGTGTTTTCACTGTTGACATATGACTGATGACGCATGATCCTTACCTGCAAACTCTTGTTCATTTTTGTGTTGATGATTAACGGTTTTTGAGTCCAAGTAGCGCTGCTGGTATGGATCCAGTACTCGCTGTGAACTGTATTGTCTCTTGACTTTATGCCTCCTTTATATACTTACTCTGATCAGTATCACAAAGACAGATTGTCCTTCGCTTACATATATGTATAAAGGTGTTTTAGAAATATATCTTTATCATACTTGAGGCCTCTAAACACTCCTTCACAAACTTGCTTCACCTTCCACTACTAGTTCCACCCCTCAAACGACATGTTTCCTGTCAGCATTGTCTTAGTTTTGATCTTCGGACAAAGAAATCAATATAACATCATGTGTAACGGCCATATTGGACAATATGGTTACTTTAAACCAACAAAGGGATTTGTTCTGTGACTGGCCCCCCTGGATTCTCATTTTGCTAGTTACTAAGAGGACAGTTTTCATGGCCACCTCTGATTATGACAAGCGATTAACTTGTTTGCAAGCCAAACGTTAGATGCAATCTTCAAGGTCCTTCTGAATATATCAAGTGGCATATATGTTAACACCAGCGAACAAAGCGACTGCAAGTAGGTTCCTATGAGGTGCGGTTTTCTGAATTATGAAACTGATCTGACAGGGTTTAATGATTTTTTAAAAAAATATATCAAAATGCTTTCCCTGGACTTATTAAGAAAAAAAATGTGAAATTTAATACAAATATATTATTGCAGAATTTTCCAGAAGGCCTCATAAAGTTATTGTGTCCAGATAGATATATGATTCTAGTGGTCATGTTTAAATAAAATTGTAACAAGAGTTTGTTACGTTTGCTTTATCGTGCTTTATATACCATAACATTTCTTTGTACTTCTCAGGAAATTAATGACGTGAACTCACAATGTTCAGTTGTTGTCCTCTATTCTGTGATGAAAAAAACGGCAGGATTAAAGTGCAGTAGAGATCTATGCTAATATATTCAGTTTCGAACTGTAGTGATCATCATGCAAGAAGGTTCCAAATGATATAAAATGTAGACCTCAGTAAGACCTATAACATAGACTTGATTCACTTCCATATGCCCTCTTGCACGAAACATTATGGGTATACTGCACGTGTGTCCATCGTGTTCAACAAATTTTGATGGAGTTTGTTACTGGGTGGTTAAAACTAATCTTGCAATCTGAACTGAATATTGGTTCATATCTGCCCTCTTTATTTCTGTGCCTGAACCTGAAGGAAATGGACCACTGAACAATATTAAAATGGATCTTAAAGACGGGGCGGGAGGGCATGTACTATATTCGTCTGGGCCAGGATAGGGAGTGCTGGCGGGCTCTTCTTGACAAAGGAGGCCTAATGAGCTTTCTTGTGGCATGAAACTTAGGGAATTCCTTGAATAGCTCATCACCTGTTAGCTGTAATAAAGAACTCGATTCGATATGGTTAATTAATTAGTTATTGATCCACTTCTTCTCGTGCTTTACGAGACTTAAATCGAACTTCATACTTATTTACCTGCTATTAAAATTACATAAACTCCATCTAAAAGCACTTGTGAGGCTACACCGTCATTGGAATTAACTTTATAAGTTGATTTCCTGAAGGACGGCATTAAATTATGCAAGCTATATACTGTACAATTATCCATGGAGGCCCCGTATGGCGAATCTCTTCGGACAAACAGGCCTTTTTTTTTCTTTAAGATTATCTACTCAAGGTGTGATGCACTAGCAGAGATGCTTAAGACTTCAATTATATATTATAATATAATTTTGCCTGTGGTTCTCTATGGGTGTGAAACCTGGTCTCTGACTGAATGGATACAGGATATTCGTGGGAAAGCCAGAAGGAAGCGGGTCACTGGGAAGACCAAGACATAGGTTGGTGGTCAATATTAAAATGGATCTTAGAGAGATAGGATGGGATGGTATGGATTGGATTGATCTGGCTCAGTATAGGGACCAGTGGAGAGCTCTTGTGAACACGATAGTGAACCTTCGGGTTCCTTAAAATGCTGGGAAGTCCTTGAGTAGCTGCAGAATTGGCATTCCTCAAGAAGGGCTCAGCTCCATGAGTGAGCGAGTAAGTGATTATATATTATTGGGATCCACAACGTTTTTCTGGAACATGTATCAGCATGATGAAACTTAAAAAAATACAAGGAAAAGCGAATTGTGCCTCCATTACATTCATTAAATGTACGTACAACATATTTGTGTTTACAGGAAAAGTACACGTATACTTCAATATGAAATATTAAGATTTGAAATACACACTCTTTATGATTTCATGTACTCCACTGAGCATCATAACCGTTTCTTGCAGACAAGAGCCAGTTGCTGCAGAGCAGCAGGTATCATGCTGCAGAATTATACATTATTTTCCATTGTATTTCGCTAAATATGAGTATTTACCACAACGAGAAATTTCTCGCACAAAACGTTCAAACCCTAATAAAGTCTGGTATTCTACGTCATGGGGTCAATATTTTGTTTCTGCAAACTCTTTTCTAAATAACCGGTTAAATTTGATTTAAGTTTTATGTAAAGAAGAAATTATTTGATAAATATGGATTAGAATTGGATCGCCTCTATGGTCTAGTGGTCAGAGTTTCTGGCTATAGATCCAGAGGTCCTGGTTCGATTGCCGGCGCTACCAGTCTGAGAAGTAGTGGGTCTGGAACGGCGTGTACTCGGCCTCGTGAAGATAATTGAGGAGCTATTTCAATGAAATACCGGCCCCGGTCTAGAAAACCGAAATTAACGGCCGCGGGGATTCGTTGCGCTGACCACGAGACACCCTCTATCCGCAAAAGTTGGCATTAACTTCGCCGACAAGCGGCGGTCGCTCGGTCGGTATAGTTCGCTTGCGGACTAGAGGCATAACAAATGAAGAGCAAGATGAGTAACGCGTGTAGAATTACAGGGGGAGCGTGTAGCAGTCTGTCCATTCCAAATTCCGGTATATCTTTCTTATGCTTGTTTTTGCAACAGAAATTACAGTGGACGATCACGGGTTCTTTTCTTTGGTCCCTGAGAGCGTTGAACTTGTCTGTCAGCTTAAACTCGATCTTGTGAAGAGGTAGGGAGTAATTGGTAAGGTGTCATCATAAATTACATGACGCTATATCAAAACGATGGTCAAAGATGTAAAGATATTTGTCATATAGGTCAAGGCCATGAAACAGAAGGATGATGCCAAAGCCTCTGTCACCCTGTTCATGGCCACATCACATGTCTGCATATATAGCAAGGTAGCAGAGCTAGAAAAAGCATTTAGTTAAAGTGTCTGCCTGAGTTGATTTGTGTTCAGGCTTCCAATAAAACAATTAATTTGGTCTCTGATGAATGAAACAGTTGTAGGATTTGAGGTTCTCACGGTGCTGAGTATGAAACCATAGCCATATGTTTTCACTCTGCTCCCTTGCTTGGTTTATTCTTCGATTCTGCAGATGGAGGCGAAATATTCCTTCGAAACGTCGATTGACTTTAAAAGAAGCACTCGGTGCTATATCCCAGAAGATAAAATTCCCCTTAAAGAAATATTATTTATTTGTTGTGTAGTGTAAGAACTCATATAAGCTGTATTTCAATATGGCAGTAGCAGAGAGATGCTGAGTCAAGATTATCTTTGGGATTTCTGGCAGAGAGAATGGGAATTGGGCCAGGCGCAGATAATAAATAGCAAAGACATAGTCTTAAAAGAAAACAAACGTATCATCACTGAATGTGGTCAACTCAAAACGGACTACGAACTGTGGAACAACGCGGGAGATTTATCTCTGTGGTAATTCCACACAATTGAAATTCTTTTTTGTTTCTTTCTTGGTTCTGCAGATCGGAGAAAGGTTATCAGGGTTTGAACTTTTCCATAGGTACACAGACGTGCCCAGTTTCTGTTCTGCGATGTTACTGACAAAGTTGTGAGTACCGTCATTATTACAGGTTTCCGCGGTGGTGAAAATGCTGTCACGTAGTGTGAGTGACTATAGACGGGGTTTTGGATAATTTAGTTTACTGTCCATTTATACACAACACAATTCGGAACTACAAACAATTACAGCGCCATCACTGTTCTGCACATTTTACAAATCATAACAGCACCCGATAAGCCTTTTTAAAGCCCGATATGTCTTCATCAGCCTTTTCATGGCAACGGATTTTAACAGTGGAAATTTTTTAACATCATGCCCTCAGGGACAGCATCTGTGCTCTAGTGGTCAGAATTCCTGGCTACAGATCCAGAGATCCCGAGTTCGATTCCCGGCGCTACCAGATTTTCTGTGAAGTAGTGGGTCTGGAACGGGGTCCGCTCAGCTTCGTGAGGGTAATTGAGGAGCTACTTGAATGGAAAAGTAGCGGCTCCGGTCTAGAAAACCAAGAATAACGGCTGTGGGAATCCGTTTCACTGACCATGCAGCACCCTCTATCCGCCAAATTTGTTACTAACTTCGCCGACAAGCGGCAGTCGCTCGGTTGGCATTGTTCGCTTGCGGACTAAAACCCACGGAGTTTATATCCCTAAACATACATGCGCTCAGGTTCTATTATCACACCCCGCCTTGCAGAACTCAAGTCGTTGCTCCAGCTGCCCTAGTTATTACTTCTCGGCACGGATCACGTAGAAAGCCACGTTGTTCTATTCTTGCGTTGGTGTTCGTTGACGCGGGAACTTCTTTACCGAGCTGTTGTGCAGAGATTGAAGCGGCGCGGTCCACAGAAAACACCGTTCTTCTATTGTCGCGGCCGTTACATAGCAACGACGGCTGTTTACAGAGTAACTGCACAATATATATTGTGGTAATTTGTTTTATGGCATTACATAGGCTGGTAGATCGTTACCAGCGACGCTACTCGGTGCCATGACGGAGAAATAATTATACATTTTGATAGTGAAATGTTTTGGAAAACTGCCACTTGAAATGACAAGGATAAATCCCCGTCGGTTATTGTCGCTGAAGGTTTTCCCCAACCAGTGTAAGCAAATGCTGGGATATCACTTTACACATAATCAATGCCTTCCTTCTATATCGTTGCGAAACCATTCATACAAGTTTGCAGCAGAAGAATCTGTCATTCTTACGTTTCTTCACCTGTAAAAATAAAGACAGGCAATGGGGATTCAGCCGGTCTCGGTACCCGAGCGGTCTAAGGCATGTACTGTCTTCGCTCGCTCTGAAGCCGGGATCGTGGGTTCGGATCTGTTTCCTGTGAGGTACGAACTGAATTCTTATATATTATTCTTATACACTGCCGGTCACGGTAGCCGAGCGGTCTAAGGCATGTACTGTCTTCGCTCGCTCGGAAGCCGGGATCGTGGGTTCGGATCTGTTTCCTGTGAGGTACGAGCTGAATCCTTATATGTTATTCTTATACACTGCCGGACACGGTAGCCGAGCGGTCTAAGGCATGCACTGTCTTCGCTCGCTCGGAAGCCGGGATCGTGGGTTCGGATCTGTTTCCTGTGAGGTACGAACTGAATTCATATATATTATTCTTATACACTGCCGGTCACGGTAGCCGAGCGGTCTGAGGCATGCACTGTCTTCGCTCGCTCGGAAGCCGGGAGCGTGGGTTCGAATGCCACACAGGGCATGGATGTTTGGTGTGTGTATGCGTTTATTCTGTGTTTGTGTTGTCCTGTGTTTAGGTAGAGGCCTTACGACGAGCTGATTACAGGTCCTGCCTTCTGTAAAATTATCATGAAATTGAAAAATCAGAGGCCAGGACCCAAGGAGGCTGTAGAGCCGGAAATTCTACCTCAATACTTGCCCATCGCTTTAACCGCCCTTATTACCATATGTGGCGATCACAGTGACGGCGCCGTCTAAGGCATGAAATGTCTTTGTCAGCTCGAACGCTGGGATCGTAGGTTCGAATCCCATTCAAAGCGTGGATGTCTGGTTGTGTTTATTCTGTGTTTGTGTTGTCCTGTGTTCAGGTAGAGGCCTTGCGACGAGCTGATCACCCGTCCAAGGAGTCCTACCGTCTGTAAAATGATCATGAAACTGAAAATCAGAGACCAAGGCCCAAGGGGGCTGTAGAGTCGGTGAAAAAAAAAGAAATATCCCAAATCTATGTCTACATTTCCCAAGTGGTCTTTTTCTTTTCAAATTTTCCAACCCAATTTGTATATGAATTTCTCATCTTGTCATACATACTACATGACCAACTCATCTTCCTTGAATTTGTTACCATATAATATATCGTGACAACTTCTCGTTATGCAATGTTCTCTGTCCTTCTGTTAATTCCTTTTATTTAAGTCCAGATATTCTTCTCACAAGTTCCTTCTGCAATCATCTTCACCCTACAGAAAATTACTTACTTTATGATATCATCTTGGTAGATTCTGATTTTAAAAAAGAGTTTGTAACTAAATAATTACTGGAAAATGGACCTAAATACATTTTTTTGATAGGGACGAAGTTTCTTGCTTCATTTTTGCAAGCAGAAATTTTATTTAAGAAATAACTCCTGGTCGGGCCAATCCGTAGGGTACAAGGGCCGCAAGCCTGGTTTCATAGTTTGTGGCTTCCACGGCAGCTTTTCGCATAAGGTACCTGTGACATAAAAGCTCTGAAATTGCGAAAGTTTTGGTTCTCATATCAACACGACACTTTTCATGAGCGTTTAGTGTTATAGAAAGTCACGAAAGAGCGAACAGTCCCTTGTGTCAATGTACGATTTTTATTCTCTGATTACTGATAATATACAGGGTGTTTCACGGCTTTAGGGCATAACTGCAGGAGGTGATTTCCTAGGTCTTTGTGATCAAAAAAGTTCATATAAACATGTGTCCGATTTTGGACGGTTACGGAGTTATGACCGTTTTAAACTCAGAATAGAAGGTAACGATTACTGACAGTAAACGGAACAAAATAATAAACCAGCATAATACATGATACATTTAAAGTATGAATGTAAAGTTAACTTCGTGAAACTACATTTAATTTGAATTTATTGGTGCTTAAAGCTGATTTTCGAAAATGCCACCGCCGGCCGCAACACAGGCTGCCGCTCGATTGTGAACCGCGCGGGTAGCACGTAGCAGCTTCAGCTGGCTGTTTCTTATGTGGTCAGCGGCGTCCAGAATGCGACCGAGCAAAGCATCTCGCGTTGCCACCTTCACATTGTAAACCAGTTCTTTCTTCCATCCCCACACACAATAATCCAGTGGGCTTAAGTCTGGAGACCTGGCTGGCAATTCTTCGCGTACTCGTACGTGGGCTGCGGTGTACCATACGAACAATGTCTCCTTCACTGACGCCTTCATTAACAATACGCTCGGCTGCAATACGAACGCCGGGAAGTCTACCGGTATCTCGCAATGCCTGGTAAACTCCAGTAAACACTCTCCGGTTCGGTATTCTACGATTTGGAAACCGTTGCTGATATTCAGCTACCGTAAGAACTGAGTTACCGTCACAAAACCCGTACACATAAATCATATCTGCGTACTCCTCAAATGAAAATGTAAATGGCATCGTGCACGTAACAGACGCACCAAGATGAGAACTGTTCTGAACACCAGTAGCCGCCACACTAGCCGTGGCCGGACATACCAACCCACCATGCCTTAAGTACCTCTCAAGTGTCGACATAACGAGAACGCTCTGTCTGTAGCTGGCTAAAAATAGCGACCCGCCAGATGATAGACGCGGTTCACACGAGGGCGTGTACGGGAATGGAAAAACGGTCATAACTTCATAACCGTCCAAAATCGGGCACATGTTTATATGAACTTTTTTGATCAGAAAGACATAGGAAATTACCTCCTGCAGTTACGCCATAAAGTCGTGGATATCTAAAATGCAGTATGCTGTGTAAACGAGGTTTACGATTGACTATTCTTGCGTGTTATTGGTGGGAGATAGTGTGAAATATCGGCCTCGACGCTACATTCGATAACATATATGAATGGAAAGGAAAGCGAGAGAAAGCAGGGAATTCCCTAATACAGAAGCTAATAGGAAAAACGATGAGACTTCCTGTTTGAATTTTTGGTGGATGTTGTACTAGTTCATTAAAATGCTGAAATAAAAGAGGCATATCTTTCGAACAAAAGCATGTTTTATTACATTGTATACAAAAATATATAAAGGTGGAATCGCACTAAACACAATTACCTCCCTTATGTGTGCTGAACTCACAGTTTTTACAATATTGCATTAATATCTTCTGTTTTACATAAAAGCGTATGGGTGGGGTACAAATACCGACTAATTATTATCCAGAGAAAAGGCCATAGCCTCCTGGACTCTTTACTGACATCACGACAAATTCATTAATGTTCTCTGTTTTTACTTTTTAGTTTGTCTCTTTTATGTTCTGGCTATTTTTTTATGTATTTTCTAATGCCCTATCGATATATATGTAGGAAATATGTGAAGAAAGTTTATAAAATTCGTATTTACAAAAAAGTGTGCCTGTAATGCATAGAGAAACATCTCAGTTTAAAGAAAGTGCTGTGGTTATGCTAACAGGAGTCATTGAGCAGGTTCCGTAAGACATTGATGCAATATCTTGTCGCCAATGAAGTCCAAGTGCTACTTAATTGGGGACGAGATGTTGTTCAGTAATCTAATATCTTCCTGAACCGGTAATTTTTGCTAAGTTTTGAATAAGTAGCTCCTAAAATAGGGCGGTTTGAGCAGTACACTGCATTACCGACTGGTCCATATTAACCGTAGATTGCAGCTGCCCTTGCTTGCGCGTGGGCGGCGAAATGGGCAACTTTAGCAGCGGCAACTTCGGGCGTATCGGCAGGGACGCCGTTTATAAGAGCAGGCACTCCTGCAAGAGGACCGATGTAGGTTCCGGGGGCGGCATAGGCGGTGTATCCAGGAATCAGTGGGGCGGCAAAAGGTATGGGGCCATAGTCGGGGGCGGCAGCTGCAGCAGCTGCGGCGGCGTTGTAGGCGGCGAAGTGTGCAGCTTTGGCGGCGGCTACTTCAGGGGTGTCAAGAATTGGCGTCAGGAACGCTGGACTAGCGCACACCAAGCAGAAGAAGACGATCTGAAAGAAGTGACATAGGCCTGTCTTACATTCATGCTTCCTCTCACCAAGCAGAGTGCTGTAGCTGTGATGCTGTAGAATTTGTTGACGGCTACACAAGTCAAGGAGGATGAGATTGGCAGGGCATGTAGCACGAATGGGGGAGACGAGGAATGCATATAGGATATTGGTGGGAAAGCCAGATGGATAGAGACCACTGGGAAGACCAAGGCGTAGGTGGGTGGACAATATTAAAATGGATCTTAGAGAGATAGAATGGGATGGTATGGTTTTGATTGATCTGGCTCAGGATAGGGACCAGTGGAGGGCTCTTGTGAACACGGTAATGAACCTTCGGATTCCATAAATTGCTATGAAGTTCTTGAGTAGCTGCACAACTGACATCTTCTCAAGAAAGGCTCAGCTCCATGATGAGTGAGTGAGATACGAATCCCAGTCGACATACCAGGAAATATTACTCTTTTCTGCTATGTTACGATGTATAATCTGATAGAAATTTACTGACGTTTCGAAGGAACGTTCTGCCAGCATCTTCAATGAGTCGAGCAGCAAACCAAACAACCACCATTTTGCTTGCTGCTTGTCGGCGTGTTTACTCGGTTTATTATTCGTCCCTGAAGATGGAGGATATACTTTCCTCCCGAAACGTCGATAAACTTGAAGAGTTCCGTATTCTGGGATATGACGCCGGAATTCAAGGCGTTATATCTCAGAAGTTAAAACTCTCCTTAGGCACCGCTGTGAGAACTTCAGATTCAGCGTCATTAACCCTGTACTAGACTACACGGTGTAATGTTCCAGTAGATAGTTACCGCCATGGGGAATAAGAGAAGAGAGACATGAATAGGCAGCTGTGCTTCCGTACTCCCGATGGAGGACGTGTTGGGAAAGACTGAAGCTTACAAAGAGGTTAATCTTAAAATAGATTTTAAGGGATTTCGTGTTTTGAAGTTCTTAAATTTGATTGAACTTCCTCACATTTTTTAATCGCCTGTGGTGAGTTTCCGGATTAGGGAATTTATTGACTGTCTGAACATCTGTCACCATCTGACTGCAGATCTCTTCATGTTAGCGAACATAACATTTTCTTCAAATGAAATTAGACAAAATGTTAAAATCCCTGTCTCAGAATTTATGTTGTTACCTGTTTCACTCTTGCTTGTTGACATTAATTCTTATATGAAATATTCATAGGAGACACCAGGATTTTCCCATGGGCGGGGGTAACCAATTTCCCAAGAGGGAGACAGCCAAATAATTTGCTTACAGCTTTAAACTTTTAAAGCCATCTTTAGTAATTAAAAATACCTTAAATTTCTGTTGTTAGTATATGATATATTTCCTTCTTCTCTTCAATTTTGATTTTTTAAAAAATCCGAAGGAAATAGGTGCCCAGTTGAGCGCCCTCCTGGCGCCCTTGGAAACATTATTCTACGTTGTGTGTGTTTAACGAAATGTTTTGTTGTGTAATGGCTCTGCTCATAACTCTGGCCACATTAATGTTCGTACCTAAGCCTCGTAGCTGAGGCCGCGCCATAGCTCAAGCGGTTAGTCGCTGGTTTCCCACCGCGTCGGCCCGGGTTCGATCCCGGGTCTGGTCAATTGGGATTTGTGGTGGACAAAGTGGCGTTGGGGCAGGTTTTCTCCAAGTACTTCTATTTCCCCTATCAATCTTCATTCCACCAAATTCCCCATCATCATATTCACCCGGGCAGGCTACAATAGGCCAATCAGTGGCCGCCGTGCCGAGTGGACTCAGTTTGACTCCACCACCCACTAAGCGAATTAAAAAGAAATCGTCGTATTTGGTTGAGGCAATATGCTAAAAGCCAGAAGGTCGCGGGATCGAATCCCGATGAGGTTATTGAATTTTTTTTCAATTGACCTAATCCTTCCAGCCGCACTATGGCCCTGGGGTCGAATGAGCCTCTAACAGAAATGAGTACCAGGAATATTCATGGGGTTAAAGGGCTGCCGGCGCGTAGGGCTGACAACCTGACCGTCATCTATGAGCCGATTATCTAGAAAATGTGAGAACCTCAACATCTCACAACACCATGGGCCTCCAAAGCCTCTTACAGGGATACCTTTACTTTACTTGTACCAATAGTAATTAGTGACTGATACAAATCACGAAATTGCTAGTTATATGGAGTCTAATATTCCCAGTTCCTCCCTTTATCATTATTAGATACAAATATTCTTCCGGGACTCTTTTTGAGTCGCTTTAACTTCTTTTATGTTCGTCTCTCAATATGTCCTTATAAAATCCCGATACAATTACTGTACAGTATGTATATTCCGGGCTTCAGGAATTTGGGAAACAGATGTAATGCTAACAGTTTTCTCTGAATAATAAGCATTTCCAGAATTTCCCCCCCTCTCAAAATATCCTGGTGAAAGTGTTTCTGTTTGTTAGTATTGTCAGGGGCGGCAGCACATCCGAACCCAGAGGCTTCCTGGGGCGCTACATTTAGGGCCGGTACATTTTACGAACTCCTTACTTATTTATCAATTTAATTTAATTTCCGTTTATTTTTAGACTACTTTATTATTTTAAAAATAGTAGGATGTTAAGATCGCCATTCTGTCTCTATATCTGTATATCACCACTTATCACCATTCGAATTCCTGAACCAATCTTGGTACGCATAACATGGCACCTGATCCCATCTCAATCCTTCTCATCTGTCTGTGTACTCGTATCTGTATGTTTATCCGCTGTCGTTGCTAGGCAACGGCTCGGTAAGAACTTTACCGCTGCTACTAATACACAAGCAACAATAGAATAATTGTTGGAAGTGTCCTTTTCTACGAGGTCCGTTTCATATGAAAGGAAAGTAGTCTCTTAGTTCTTCCCAGAATATCTTGTTCCTATCGTGACGTCATTGGCAGTAACCTAAACATGCTGTGCAACAACGCAAATAAAACCGTTTTAAGAATTGCGACCCCAGTGACAGTTTCGTCACACTTTCTGGGAATATCATATTATTAACTGTGGCGACGTTTCGAAAAGTTTGGTGTCACTAACTTAAGAGGGGCGGCGGTATTTAGGCTTGAGTATTATTTCAAGATAAAAAGAGGTAAATCTATCCCTGTAACAGACCGTGGTGGTCCATAGGGTTGTGAGACGTCGAGAGTCTCACATTTTCTAGACAATTGATTCACAGATGACGGTGAAGTTGTCAGCCTTACGCTCCGGACGCCCTTTACCCCCTGGAAGATTCCTGGTACTCATTTCTGTTAGAGGCTAAGTAGACCCCAGGGTCATATTGGGGCTGGAAGGATTAAGTAATTTAAAAAATTCAATGAGCTCATCTGGAATCGAACCCGCCATCTGCTGGCTTGTAATACAATGCCTCAACCAACTACGCTACCGCATTCCCCATTATTTGAAGATACTTAAATTAATCTAGCATAGTATCAGTATAAATGTATCTGCAACAATTAAACATCAACAATAAAGACAGACACGTTATATGAAGCCGTGGGTTTGGAAACAGTTTAATCTTATCGTTGAGTAGCTTACCTGAAGAATCTTACTCATTGTTGGATATCCCTTGAAGACTCAAGTGCAAGAAACTGCCGCTGCTAGCGCTACTGGTATTGTTCCAGAACTCGCTACGGAGGAAACTGTTAATATCTCCCATCTTAATAACTCCTTTATATACTTTAGTACCGATTTGTCCTTCGGATTATGTCTCAGAAATATTTCTGGCACTCCTTCGTGGGGACGGTCTGCCTTCCATCTCCCTGCCCCCACCCCCTAACCTGATCCTGTTACAACGAAAAGCCTTGTTAGCGCGTAATGAATTATTTATTTGGCATAAATATTATATGTTTATAATAACCTCTGTGGACATAGCTAAATAGAATTCCGCCATAAATAGGTGTGGTACACGTGGGCCCACATTTTGTGATAATTTTATCCTTCGTCTGCTAAGGGGATCTTAACAGCAATATAATGTCTTGTGTTCTGTTTGAGGTTCATCCCGCCATTCAAATTTTGTTCTGAAGTTCAAATGTCCGATGTCTTCCTCACCAGCTTCGATATGTTTTATCACTTCTAACACTACGGACTAGATAATCCCTTAAGAAGCACAAGCCATTATGTTATGAATAATTTTCGTTTCTTTTGTGGTATAAGGAAGAACCAAGTATTCTACAAACTCCTGGTTATTAAATCTGAAAATGTATGGCGTTTTCACTAGTAGTCACAGTGTAAAACTGGTATCCATCTAGCAACAACGTCAAGAATGGTGGAACTATGCCACCATACCCTCATTTATATTCATGGCATTGTTCTTAATTAATTAATCACAGAAACAAATTTACCTTTACCTTTAAAAAATTCTTATAGTGGAGGTGGAGTCCAACTGTGTCCACTCGGCACGGCGGCCACTGATTGGCCTATTGTAGCCTGTCCCGGGTGGTTATGATGATGGGGAATTTGGTGGAATGAAGATTGGCAAGGGAAACCGAAGTACTCGGAGAAAACCCGCCCCAGCGACCCTTTGTCCACCACAAATTGCACTTGACCAGACCCGGAATCTAACCCGGGCCGCCGCGTTGGGAAGCCAGCGACTAACCGCTTGAGCTTACATGCGGCCTTACATTTACCTTTAGTCACAATATCGGAGTTCGAGTCACGGTGGGGGTAAGAATTTTCAAATTTTCATGTCGTCCAGTCCGGCTCTGTGGTCCACCCAACGTCCTATCCAATGGGTACCAGGGGCTCTTTCCCCGGGGGTAAAGAGGCCGGGGCGTGAAGATGACCACTCACCTCCAGCTAGTGCTAAGGTCAGGAAAATATGGATCTATACATCCACCCCCCATACACTTTCACGGCGTAGTGCTTAATTAGTTAAGCACAGGGACAACTTTACCTTTTTAGTCACAATTTAAATCCAGGTATCAGAGAAGGAATTTCGTTGAATGAAACTCAGCGTTGGAAGAGTTAATAACCACCAAACTGCAAATTCAGTAATTAAGTCACTGAC